CTCCATGGCATCACAACTAATAATCAACTGCTCCCCATCTCGTTTAGGGGGTTGTAGATTGTGTCAGATAGCAATGACAACTGACTGCTCTTCGGATTCACATGGGATTTATCAAGACGTTCAAATTCTGCGAAGACTATTAATGGCGCAAGTATCCTTGAATGGCAGCTGCGTCGGCCGTTTGAAGGAGTTGTGACGTAGCTGTTTGTCCTTAATTTTCCAACATACGACATCGGCAGTAGTTGTCACTCGGCTGAATGGGACCCTCGATTTACATTATTGCACTCAATCCACCATATTGCTTGCTAGTAAACTCTGTCCCCCCCCCCCCTGAGCGTAATCAATTTCGTGTGTACGTACGGAGGTTACTATTTCACAGAGCTTGTGACAACTATGCTGTAGGTAGCTGTTTGCCTGGGAAGAAAATTTGAACTGACTGAATGTCACTACGGGCTTCGGGGTTTTTTGAAAGATAATTGTATGCTATGTGGGAGCAGTCTACCGATAACAGACAGACACCATAAAAGCCACGCTATGGTCCACTGGGAAGCTGGTATCAAGCAACTGAGAGTCAACTGGTGACAACAGCAACGTGATCCAGGTTTTATTCTCAAAATACGATCTTTTGAAATACGCTCCGGATCTAACTAAACGTGGAGCAGGGTAATAATGTGGATCAAACAGGTCTTCGCAGAGTAAGATATGACCACCGGCAGGTGCTGCGTTATGCTAGAAGGACACGTATTGAACATAAAACCAGCTAGGGTGAGTTATTCGTCCACCAGTTGGTGATAGAATGCTTACGGCCGATCACCAACCTCAGCGAATAGAGCTGCAACTAAGATAAGTATCCGAACTGCCAATATCACAACACTACCAAGCTTACGTTATCTCCCACAAACATTTGGTATTGAATCTTGTGGCAAGGTAGCTGTAGGAGAGGCATAATGGGGTGCAAATTGGGTGCGGCCTTCAGCCAACGACTGGTTCTGCCGCCACCTCACAGATGAATGAATTCGCGCAGAATGAAACGTATAATCGAACACCATGTCTGTTTGGTCTTCAGTCGTCGAAAAACCCTACTGAGCTTGTGACGACGGACACATGGTCACACATTAGAGCAGTAAGATAGGTATTTTTGAGCGATTACTGCGAATTCATTTGACTAGGATGCGCTGTTAAAGAGTTTGCGGGCTTGGTGGTTATTAGAAGAACCAGCTCCAAACTAACGGGACCACATAACTGCCAGTGGAATAACCGTTTTTCGTTGAGACAGATTTCATTGGTCGTTATTCACTCGCCCTTGACGGATGAATGGTATTCTTAACATCACTTTTGACAGTGATCAATGGAGCAGCTGGCTCGTACGTTCATTGACTTTTCTGGTTTGGCCAAGCGCACCGGGCGATCAACCGGCTATCCAGACCGGGGTTCACGGTAATGAGAAGGCATTAAGGGACTGTGGTCCACAACAGTGGTGCTCTCACAGGGATCCGAAAGTTGAATAGAAACTTCCAGACCCCAGGAAAAAGTGATCTCTTCTAAGAGGTGGCGACTCCCCACTGCAGTCTCTTTAATGAGGATTCGAAAATAAGGCCAGTAGGTTTTGATACCACAAAGGAGGTGATTTGGATATCCGACCAGTCCAGTTTGTATCTCGATGAAACTAGAGGGCTACGTAAAAGCCAACATTCCCACTAAGACTGAGAAGTTGAAAGTGAAACACCGTTGTGTTTACTCAGTAGCTGAAAACTTATCAAGTTGATGGCCTCGTATTTACTTGTTCGTAGAAATTGAGCAAACCCATACAACGTTGTTGTATGATTGATCCTTAAAAGTATTCACTGTGTCCATTACTTAAGACAGAAGTCCGTCAAGAAAGTTATGGTTCTGACACGTCATTGTCATTGTTTATCAGCTAACATTTTCTGAATATTCAATTGTTTGGCTTTCTATGCAGAAACTTGAGTTCAAATGGTCATAGACATTTCCGAGATTCCAACCCGGGACGATTGCCAACCAGAAATAATTGAATGTACAGTGCATAACCGTGTAGATTGATCTCATTTGCATGATAAACCTAAGACTGGCGGACGTTCTGGAAAATATCGAGACCAGAATTATCTTGAATAAAGAAGGTAAATCACTGTGAAAAACCAAAACAAGACCGCAGATACAGCGACTTTTTCAGACGTAGGCCCACACGAGCTTCATCTGCTGAAAAACTAGTCTGTTCAACCATGCACTCTAAGATACATCAAATTGGCGAATATGAACACCCGACACAGTAAACATCACATGACCCAGCTTGGATTGTGCCTTTCATCACTAGCGACACGAACTAAGCTGAAAAGATGCTCCGTAACACTAAAGAATGTTATGTAGACGGTACAACCCAAATCGATCCCATCTCTGCACATGGTGACCACATCCATTGTCCAGATTTTGCAAGACCAGCAAGTCGTTCAGGCAGATTAGCATTCTACCATATGCTACCATATGATGGAATGTGTCCATTATGCCTACAGTGATCAATACGCTTCTTGTCGTTGTTCGGTAAAGATGTTGCTTCCAAATTCGACAGAGTTCTCGTGGGAGTCAGTCAAAAACCCAGACAGTGAAATAAGTATCCTGTATGCACAAGACCATCTTAACCATAAGGTTTAATTCTTCATGCCTTAAGATGCATAGTTTGAGCATAATCGTGCTAGCCTGAACCATCCTCAAATGACACAAAGTCTCGAGTGAATATCACAGTATGAGATGAATACTTCGTCCTATAAGCGGAGAAAATCTACACTGAACAGTCGGAAAGCGCTGTACAGCACTACACATGTGCGGTTAACTGTGGATAAGTACACATCTAGGGACGAAAGTCCTGTCATACATGTTTCCTATTCTGTTTGGCCTCTAGTGTTTCCTCTACGAGAAAGTTATTGACATTGACCAGTGAAGTGAACTTGTCCTATTTATATCGTGCTGGATGACCTTAATTCGCGCAGTGAAATTTAAATATGTTCTTCACGATTGACTGTACCGAGTGGAATTTGTCCTGAGAGGTCGTATGAATTAGATTTTTTTTCACCTTGACCGATAGGCTGAATAGGACTTTTGCATACCCAAAGTAAATCAAAAGTTGAGTTTGGAATCACTTGGTTGCAACTCTGCATGCGATCGCCCATGTAAACCAGAAAGATTGGACGAAAAAGAGCCAAAATATTATTTTTAGGAAAACAAAACATCAACTGAATTTCGGATCGCCATGGCAATGGTCCTAACAAGATATCGGCTTTCCGGGCCTGTTGCGTCCTGCTTTGACCGGCACATGGTCAAACCAGGAATCTTACCGTTAACATGGTGCACGTGTCTAGCCATTTTGCTACCTGACGCGAACAATCTTGAACGTTCCTCAACACCGTTACGTCCTGAAGTATGGGATCCTGTCAAGAATATTCTCTATGAAAAAATTCTATCATGAAGTGCACTTCCCAGCAGGAAGCCGTGAGTAAATGCTCGTAGAACCAAAAACTTGTGCTCTCCGTTTTAATTGGGTTGATGGCCAGATGCTGCAAGTACTGCATAAAGGAACGAGCGATTTTACTCATCCGAAGTCGCTTCAATACGGGGATGCTGCATATATTTTGGGCTGGTAAAAAAACGAGCACCCAAATTCACTAGCACAAATTTCACCTACACACGGTGCCTAAGGACAGTTCTTCCGAGAAAATCTCATCAGACAAGTATATTTATGAACGGTCTGCAAGGTTGAAAGGTAATAAACGGGATCATATTGGCTGAAACTCATTTATTTTTCAGCTAACCACGTAAATTTTTTTGTAGATATGCTTGTTTGGGGAGATTTCATAGGAAACACTGCTTGTGATCAATGTGTTCTGATGTCCAATGACTGCTAGTACACTTATGGTAAAGTAGGGGTGGTCTCCTGACCAAGTTCTCGAAATGGGCATTAACACGTATTGAAGGAACTAAGCTTTCAGAGGAATCTACGCAGTTTGGACACTGACAACTCAAGGTAGATTATTTTTTCCGACCATTTCAAAAATTAATTACATTTCTTATGTCTTTGCGTTTCAGCAAGTTAGATATGCTTGGAAGAAGAGGTACAGATTATCGTTCTGTATCTTAACATTAACGTAAATGCCTGGAGAAGGGACACCTTGCGCTTGAGAATAGACCAGTTCACTTCACTCGATGGGCGCGCATAACTGAAAAGTCTGGCAAGACACTGTCGTCGAGCTCGAATTCAGTGCTTCGTATCGAAACAGGAGAGTGATTTGAATGCACATCGGTTGATTCGCTGATAAAAAAAGCTAACATATCCTAACCTGAAATTATTACCTTGTATTTGTAGGGCAGCAGTGATGTTACAGCCCTGTGGTCTACAGTGGCCAGAATTCAGTTCCTCAAGTTTCAACTATGTCAGGAAAGTTAACGAGGAGCAAATCGACTAGGATACGGGAGGAAGTGTTCCTTATTTACCAGGAAACAAATTGAGCAGCAACCTTTTCTCAAAACAGATAAGCCAGTGCTTCTAGTATGTCATACGGAGACCGAGACGGATGGTTATGAGTTTAGGGTGGCAGCCATAAACACTGCAAGTGTGCAGCTTTTACGGCTGATAATGATGAATCCAGGGTGTTTACAGTTCTCTATAGGAAGCTTGAACAACATTGTCAACAGACTAGAATTTTCTATATACGTCCAATGAAACTAACAGCCAATGATCGACTCACGCACTGCCAGACCAGTGAATCAAATAGGACGGCCCTCATTCACACATATCTCTTACCGCAAAACTACACTGCTATGAAACGGTTAAAATCCCTGCTGAAACGCGTGACTTGACCCGCTCCGTGCCTGTGATGTGGGCCGACAGTGAGGGACTGAGGGTTTGGGTTAGATGTGGTTCATTCGACTTCTTGAATGAGCATGCCAGTTTCTTCAACTACTCAGAGAAAAGCCAGGGAGAGAAGCTGCCAACTGTGAAACAACTTCACGTATTGTGAAAAAATAAAATAAAACACAAAAAGAACAGAAAACAAGGACAAAACAACCGCAAAAGCTCGCGGCATTGATGCGAGATGAAATGATAAACAAATATGGTACCGGAGGGTTTCGGAACCAGTTGAGCCGGAAGAGGAGACGAATGACAACAAGTTCGGGACTGAAAGTGTGACTATACTGTCGACTACGAATGCACAAAAGGTGGGTAAAAATGTGAATTGTGTGATAGAGGCAGTAAGAAAGAATTCAACCAGATGAGAGCTGCCATTACACTGAAGTAAACCAATTTATGAAGAAAAGAGCGAGGGAGAGTGACTGAACAAGGGCGACATGAAACTGAGGAGTGTTAGGCAGAGGGAATAAAGGGTAAATGAGTGTCCTTTGGCAACAGGAGCGTGGAAAGTGAAAGTACTATACTATAAAACGAGACTGATCAACATGAGAACGCACCAGACAGGAGGGTGACACGGTCTTACTGAAAGGACGGATCGGTAGAGATTGTCTCACTTCCTTTTCCGCCGGCGCCGGCGACGATGAGCTGGCAGTCGTACAGCCGGATCCAAGTTCCCAGTCGAGTGAGTATCCTTGGTTCCCCGACTTTTTAATGAAGTTTGCTCCCGATCGGAGGTAACTACCGTTGGAGAGCCAGCGAGAGGTTCATCTGTGCCGCTGCATGATTCTTCCTTTCTTATAACAGTCGACGGAGTTCGGCCAAGTGCACTGCTGCCGGCTTCGAGGTGACACGTCACAGCGGTATCGTAGTTCAAACAGAAGTTTTGGCTGTGCGAAGCAGTTTCTTGTGGGTTAACTAGCACAGGTTTGGGCTCCTGTACATTTGGTGGTTCCTCGTCTGTGCTCGCAAAACAGAATTGCAAAATATCAACCGGTTCCATCGTGTCGCCTCCTTGTGGCACTTCTGACAAATGTGACTCAATAGGATCCGTAGTGGATACCTGGTCGAGCTCCATTAGGTTTGTCTCACCGGTTGCTCTCAGTTGGGCTTGTGCATCAAGCCAGCACACATAAGGATCTGGATTGATCGGACAGGGAACTAAATCATCCAATCCAACAACGCTCCCGACAGCTTTGGCACATCCCGCCCAAGTTAGAATGATCTGACGACCAACCTCTAGATATTCTGGATGGCGAGTGAAGCGCACATGAAGACGAACGGTCTGAAGAAAGTGAAAACAGTTAAATCAGTATAGAAGGAGAATAAGACAGTGAGGCTTTGAAACTAAGCAGTATATCAGACTAAAGCTACACGACACAACCCAATAAAAGTAGTGATTTCAAGTACCAAATCCAACGTGACCGGGGTCACCTGAGCAATATTCATCAGGACTAAACAGGTGAGAATCACAAGTTGCAGACACCGCTTGTGCAACACGCACTGGTAGCACACGGAAAATATGTCAACCACAGTGGCACGTTGCAAATAAAGAAAAAAGAACAACACAAGTAGCCGGGGGGGGGGGGGAAGCTGAAAAACATATGAACTGTTTTTGTTCAGAGCCATATGATTCTTTATCATCTGCTCGAGATGTTTAACTTTAAGTGAAAAGAAAAACAATCTCAGAATGAACTCCCATCATGGCGTTTCAATTTTGGTGGATTGCTAAGAGGCAGAATTAAATCCAACTAACGAGTGAAACTCCCATCTGCGGCGTCGTTGCTCGATGAGACAGTCAACAAATGTGACAATGGGAAGAGTGGCGCTACGTCCTAATCACAATGCTGGTCGACCGCTCGTGGTTGAACGTTTAAGTGTCCAAACTACCAGCCAGGAATTCAAGGATTCGAGATTCCCTGGAGTTTCGTGAGATTCGCACTATTGGTGATTCGCAATAAGGATGAAACAGTTGTACATTGCCTCCAGGCTTTTTAATATAGAATGGCTTCACTCACAGAGTGAAATCCCGAAGCACGTTTCCGAAAAATCCCCACCCTACAGCTAAAACATTCTGTTAAGAGATGACTGATAAATGCGACGGCTGTCGAGCAGACAAGAAATCAGGAATAGGCACAACAGTCCCCCAAAGAAAAACTCCTCTGAAGGGATTGCAATTGTGCTTTCTGTTAGAGACTCTAGCCTAAATAAGAAAGGGTTTTCAACTGAAATACCTTTTCACTACCTAGCTGCCACACCAGCTGAAAGAAGTACCAGGGCTTAGATACTACCAGTGTAAAGGTAAACATTACTGAGGAGGCATGCGAGTATTATGTGGATTTCTCGTAAGTCCGCTTCGCGTCTACTGAAAAGTGAGATGTAGTACGGAATCTGTGAAATTACTTTGTAGCGTTCGCTTACATTTGAGTGATAGTCAATGAATATTCAGGAAAGTTTGGGAAGACGCGGTCGAGAAGAAGATGGATATTCAGTTTTTATAAACAAGATGCATATGAGGGTCTTGCTTTGCTGTCCAACAGTCTGTAACTGTTCAGTTGGTGTTTCTTAGTGAATAACTCCGTAGCGAAGGCCGTCTTCCTTTCACCAGGTTACTGAATCCTAGACAATAGCAGAAGAGATGTCGGGTTTGGGTTCGAACCAAGGGCCTTCCGGTCAGTAAAGAGAAGCTCGGAATAATCTGAAACGAGGCACTTTGCTTTCCCTCTTGTCGACAGGAAATTATTGTGATGTCCGGAGCAACCGTGTTACACCGTACGGCCTGCACAATCAGGTACTATTTCGCACACGAGCAACTCATGAGCTAGGGGTACTACCATGCACCTCGTGACTGGCACGAGCGACCAACCTTGATCAAACTGTCAACAATACCACCGCGTCGTATTCACTAGAGAAACACCAACCTATTTTCGTGTGCCTGTGGGTTTGAGTGTCTCCTCCTTCAAACGATATATGACACACAACATAACTGACTGAGAAATAGTGTACATGAACTTTCAACCCCACAAACGATGGTTGCCACTGGCCAGAGTCAGAGGACGGTGTACGTATGGGTTTGTGCGAATGTCAGCATTCCGAGACTGCCAACTTCAACCATATATTAAAAAAGGTTTGCGGTGATGGTGGACAGAACTTAGCCAGATTTTACACTGTGACTATCTTCGCTGGCACGAAGAAAACAGTCTCTACGGCTCGCCGGTTTTGGAATCTATATGTGCTCTGCAAACACTTTGGGCTCGGGTCGAGACGAACATGTTGAGGCCACATCGCTCTATGCAAAATGCGAGGAAAATGTCCGTTAAAGATGGATCTTTCAAATCAGAAACAGCGAGTGCCATCCGATTGAACAATCAACATTTAGTAGATTTAGTTGCGGATTCACAGGAACAGGAAATGTGAAAGATGTTAAACTTCTGGGAAGGCCAAGAACACTGACAGAACTTGGATCGTATGAACTCATGTGTCTCGCCAAGACAAACCCAAAGAAATGCGCAAAGCGACTGGGGAAAGAGCGCGCGGATCGGATTTTGAAAGGACACAATCTCTACCACTAGAAAACTATGCGCCTGCGATAAACTAGGGTTGAACTCCGTGAATGGTCACTCCCAATAGCGGTGACCCCCTGAAGCGAAACCGCCTTCTACGTTGATGCGACGATATCTAACTTCGATGTGTGAGCTGCATAGAATGTCAGACTATCATTCTGATGCCCATACCAGTTTTGTGCAAAGCTGATTGCCTGGGCTGATATGTGGAACAACTGGCCCCCAGGGCCTTCATGGATGCAAAAATAACAGGTACGCGTTTCTAAGGTCACCATATTGCAGGTTTCTTCGAGAGTTTTTCACGCCATGTATTGAAGCCTGCCGCCTCAGTATGAGGGCACATGGTTCCACATGCTCAAGTGGCAGGTGGACTTTTGTAAGCGAACTGCTCTAGTCGTCCGTAGTATGGTTGAATGGTAATCAATCAACTCCACAGATTTGAGGCCAATGGACCATTATCTTTGAGGCTAACTAAAGTCGATAGCGTAAGCCGGCCGAGCGAGAACATTGGAGCAATTGGAACAACTTATCACAGTTCAGCTCAGAAGAACAACGGACATAAAGCTCAGAAAAAGTTCGGGACTCATTTTGAAAAAGAGCCCTTATTTACATGCAGAAACAAGGTCAATATTTGGAATAGTTACATCTTTTTTTTACAAAATTCGGCTCTGTTCCACACCCCCTTTTAACGAAGCAAATAAATCGGGTCACACGTCAAATAAGGCATGAGGAGAGGTGAGAAAGTGGTGAAGGATCATCCTTGAGAATATGATGAGTAGATTGACTTACTTCAAGAGAAGGATAAATATTACGAGGGTGCCGTGAGTGTCGAAGGCTAGCAAACGGTACCCTGACCCTCCCGATTCAGGAGAACACTGCTTATCTTGGCAGAGAACAGGGTCTCATGCAGCTCCCTAGACAGACGAATTTACATGCCACATCGATAAGCTCATCCAGAAGCACAAAGCTTGGGTATCAACCCAGTCAGTTTTCCAGCAGCACTTGAGACTTTGAAGGTATAAAGTGTGCGTCAAATCGTACGATGATACGGGTTCATTGGTTTAAAATGATCTGCATCAAGGAGGTACCTGAACCATGAACAGCACTACAATCAGCGCACTCAATGTCTGCCTTTGGGGCAAGTAAACAAGAAATGAGCAGTACAGTAGTAGTACAGTTGAGACTAAGCGGTACTGTGGGGGATTTTTTGGGCTCACGGGAAAATTTTCCGTCTAAAATCAGTATTGAGTGAATGTCAACAAAGGAATAAAAGGGAAATGAAGCATACAATTTGCTGCTGCGTAGTTCGTTCAGACCCTTCATCCATGGGGAGCCAAGTTGTCTTTAGAGAATACAAGCCAAAAGTGACTGTTTTCGAAACAGACCGGCAGGGCAATCACAAAGGTTCGATTCGAAAAAGTGTCATGCGTGATGACGGACCGTGAAACCGTGCATTTCCAGCGGCTTTAGGGTACCGTGTTGACAGTCGACCCAAGTGTGTCGTTCGATTTTATAGAACAATCACATCAACCATGAGAAAGAATTTTTTCCCCGAAAACTGACCTTACTGTTCGACGCTCCCAGTTCCGCTGTCATGGTAACCAATGCAGGTTGGGCAACACAACCAGCATATAAGACCACACGTTGTTTAAGCAGCGGCAACGGTGGTAGGACGACAGAGGATGAATTGAAACCAGGGTAGATGGAAAGCCGGTACGCGATGTCGATTTCAACTGTCCACGCAACTCCAACCAGCGGATTTTCGTATACCGCATGAGGAATCCTGAACGGGATTGGGTCCTTGAAAGATAGCGAACCGTTCAACAAGCGACCTGACCATTCGCTATTGGATAGCATGACCATACCACGACGGAGTGTTATCGGAAGAAGATTACTGTTTGCAAATGAGAATACCGTGTCGGTGCTATCCGGAATATTCTCACTGTTATCCATATAAAATACCTGTTCATCAGCTGATCCGGACGGATTGGCGGTTGGAGACAAGGACCCTCGCACACTACCGGACAACAAACTTCTGCGTGTATTGACTGCGAAGTGGACAGCTACTGAAGCGGTTTGGCCGGTGAAAATTTCAGAATAAGGTTGTCGATTGTGTTGTAGGCTTCTTATTTCAACAAGATGGAATTGGCCCAACTATAAAATGAGTCAGATTTAAAAAAAGCACTAGTATACTCGATCAAGCAATTAGAAAACGAAAAAAACCGTCAGCTAGCATAATAAACAATTTGATGAGCGTTACATGAACACGATGATCATTGGTAACCGCAACACCATAGATGTGACAATCGATGAAATGTATGTACAGCAAAGTTGGATGCACCACAAGCACACACACATGGGTCAATTAATAGGTTGATAATAAAGTAAAACGAACAGCGGCCGCACCGGTAACTGTCGTTCCCTTGAATGAGGACGCTTGGGCGAGATACGTCAAGTATTAGCTGCTATGGCCCCGTCACACAGTTCCCCCTTGCTTTCAAGCAGTCCAGTTCTCCACCCTATCAGGAAAGCATTGTAAGTCAACTATGGCACACAGTAACAACTGGAGACGTTACCCGAAAATTCATTTCAAATCAGCGGGAGAAAGCGCATTTTTCCGCACGCTTCATTTGTGAAGAAGTGTACTGAACTGTCCTGAAGGTTGTAACTCGTGCGTCATGGTTGTCATCATAAAAGATGGCAGTACTGGTGACAAGCACTTATTTTATCAGAGTTGTGTTGTGAAGGAAAGGAACGGGGACCAGTAACTGATTCCCGTAACCAACCTTTCCATGAACACAGAGCGTTACAGATAGGAAAAACTAGAAGGCGTGTAGCACCGACATCAAACAACGCAATTCAGCACCTCGTTAGTAAAGAACAAGACAGATTGAGGCAGTACGAAAGTTGACTGGTCACACTTCAGCGCTGTGGAAAAAGCCGCAACCAATCCATTCTATTTTAAGCTACTACAGCTTCGGTCACCGGGATACCGGAGGACAGAAGGTACAACCAAGCCTAGGGGGCGAAGGCAGACTCAGTTTGTTCGGAAATCGGGGCGATAAACATTGAAGGCGATAGCCTTGATGCAGGAGCGCCACTGATTGCATGATTGGGCAATTTCCACTAGTCATTAATCACTGGTGACTTGAATCCCGGAGTCCCCATCCAAGGAGGCGGCATTTGCCCACCCGAATAAGTTTACTAGTTAGTGTTTCGTTACTTCGTTGCCAGGTCATACACTGTCCACCCCTCGGTCGCTTCCACTCAGTACCGCGCTGGATGAAGAGCTCTGAGAGGCAGACGGTCTTCCGGCATGCGGAGTACATGTTTCAACCAGCGCAACCTATCTATCACGGAAGAGTTCCTTCTTCCTAAGACCATCTGGCGCACATGAGCATTACTGATTCGATGTTCTCGCCAGACCTGACCAATGCCGCGGAGACACCAATGATCAAACACTGACATCTTCTGTTTGTTTTCTGCGCATAGGAGCCGGGTCTCGGATCCATAAAACAGTATGGATCATACCACCGCAGTGTAAACTCTTCCCTGGACAGACAAGCTCACGTCACGTCGGTGACATAGGTGTCAGAGTTTGGCAAAAGTTGCACTGGCATTTCCAATCCGAGAAAAAAATCTCATTTTCAGCCAGTCCACCAGCTGGAAATCCGTAGCTGTTACCCAGCAGTTAATTTAAGATGATTTCAAACCCAAAAAAACATGAATGCAGATGAGTTTTTATAAAGGTTGTTTGAAGGCTACGTAATCTAAACAGACCAAAAAGGGTGAAAATCGTGTCAAACTGCAATAAATTCAATGACGGCATCCAGGCGATTACGAATTGTTGCAGCCAAGTGTAGGACGTGAGACACCAGACGCGCCTGTTACGGGGTGTTGCAGCCCAGTGTAGGACGTGAGACACCAGACGCGCCTCTGGTGACTGCACGTTACTTTGGTTGGCACCCAAAATACAGAGACTGTCTGCCAAAAGTTTGACTGAGTCGCGATTGAAAGAGAGGTGGACTTGGGTACGCAGATGTTACACTCTGCAAGCAGTGGATGTCAGCGGGCACTTTTAGAATAGTTATCCTGCATAAGGAGATATCAAGGGGAGATGATACATTTGGCGTCTCCTTGGAAATGATGAATCCTACCGATGTAGAACTCTGTCCTGAGGTCTCTTCAGGGCGATCTCCCATGGAAAAGAGGGAAAGTGAGCGACTGGATGGTGCTGTGAACTACGTCGACCACCTCGCGAGCTCCAATCAGGAGTACGACTGTCAGTGTCAGACCTAAAAAAATCCTTGTGCTAATGAGTTGTGGACGAGAGCATTCCACAGTGAAATAAATGGTATCTTGTGAAAGATTATGCACCACTAACGTGATTCCAACTCTCAAAGATAGCTACGTGACATGGAAGGCACTAATGGGACCATATATTTATTGTTCCAGATCGATGAAATTTATAGGATAAAAAAGTAAAGTGTGAAGTGGAGAGAGAAGGTTCCGTGTTAGTCTTGCGTTAAAAAACGTACTCGAAAAGTGCACTGGCTTTCGCTGCAACGATTTCTTTCAATGGAATCACAAGAGGATAGCCATTCAGATACCTTAGGCATCTCATTGACTTTGGAATGTTCTGCTTTTCCAAAGGGTTTTGTTCACGTAGAAGTGCTCACTGCTTGCAGAGGTCACGAGTCTAATCCATAAGACAGCGCGGACCACACTGCAGCGGTATATGTTCCATACACTACACACAATCTGAGGTCGTCTCCGTGTCATTGGTTAATAAAGGTTGGAAAGAACCCTTCTGGTCTTCGCGATTTGGGATTCGATCTGGTCTCTTGCCAGACCACCTTCCTGATTGAACTGAAAGTACGAGAGATTGATTGGATGCTGCTTGGTCTCTAGGCAGCAATATACACTATATAAGTAAGCATAAGGCGCATGCCGGACATTAGGGTTGGGTCATGTAGGTTACTTCGAATGGACGAATAATAAATAATAATAATTATTATTCAGCTGTAACACCCTTTCGGTGCCTGATTGCCATGCTACCCGAAGGTCGCACGAAGGCTGGGATACTGCCAGGTTGCCCAAGCCTAGACAGGGGAAGTCGAGAGGCAGAGGTTGGGTTCGAACCACGGACACTCCGGTCAGGAAAATTCGCGCCTAACCACTTGGGCCATCTCGCCCCAATACTTCAGGGGATCAATCAGCACATCAGTAGCAACGTCTAATAGGGAGGTCTAAATAACACAAGCCATAAGATATGTGAAATCTAGTCAACGACGGACGAATAGTTGGCAAAGCTCAAACGAAGGACTGTCCCAACAGGACAATGAGGGAGCTAGTGTATGAAATTAGGAGGTGCAGCAAGTGGCAGAGCAGAAAAGATAGAGTGGGACCTATCGTTCTTCTGTCTAGAACCCTGTTCGGAACGGCATCACACGTGAATGCAAGTCCATCTGTACATAGATAAAACAAAGGGAGACGTACGAAGCAAAAGGAACGTGTGTCCTTACCTGATCGGGGCCTAACCAAGCCATGTGGCCATTGGTTAGCTGACCAGATCGGACGATTCCAAACAACACGGGGTCTGGAACTCCAGGGACACTAGTAAATACTTCGCAGACCCAGAAACACATGAACAGTGAGCTACCAGTTTTCAAAACGTCCTTCAACGCCTGGTGGACGTAGTCAATATACAAGCTTTCCTTAATGTTTGAGTCCGCTGACTGTTCCTTGGTATTCATCGGCTTCTCCGATTTACACTCATTGTCTTGCTCGCTGGGAGCTACACTGGATATGGACACGTATTGTGACGGATCAGGAAGGGTAGATTGGCTAAGACGACCGAGGAAATGAATGAGTTTGTCGATTCCTTCGCCGGAAACAGCGGACACGGGAAAGAACATAGGTTTCAGACGAGTGCTAGGATGAGAATGGCAGAGAGAGAGAGAGAGCTGTAATGTAGATTGCCGAGGAGCGATAAATTTTAAAGAGTTGAGACTATGGAAGCTTAACACATTAAATCCTTCCAAAATCAATAGTTCCCCCAAAAGGGGGCCAGCAATCACTCATTAGCTGCGGTAGTATGTTGACGGAGTTGCTCTGAGCTTCGCATTACACCGCAGTTTGGAAAGACTATCACTGAAACAGGAAGCTAACCTAGGAAGCAAGTGCCAGCGTTCACGTATATTGTCTACGCTCAAGCACATGACCGATTGGTGGCGTGGCACCTTCGAATCGGGATGGCAATTATCCGAAGACTTGATTTCTGTTCTATTGAAAACCACAGTGGGATTCACCGAGTCAGCAGAAGGAACGAATCAGTAAGGGTTACTGGGCACTGGACGAAAATCAGGCGAATATGAGTGCTTGACGTCGCGTTCGAATCGGTTAGATACAAGGATATTGAGATTCTTCGAAAACCAGTATTCAAACTTTCTTTTCAAAAGTGTCTATTGGGAAAAGTGCTCTCCTATAGGAGATCAAAACCGACCATAAGCCCGTTAGACGGACCAGTACAATCATGCGATAGCCTCATAGAAAAAAAGCAGCTCCATATTTTCATCGTAGTTATCGGTCGGTTTATTGTTGACCTCAATGGTCTTATTTCAGATTGATTCACATTCGCGTATCTTGAGTCCTACAGTCACGTGCTTTGAATGGTTTACTCTGACTGCTCTAACTAGTTAGGCCAAAATTCTCATGTGACATGAACTCTTGAGCTTTTGCTAGTCCACCCTACCATCTATCCGTTATATGTACGATAACAGGAATAACTGCGGAGATATAATCGACAAATCAGGGCGCAGGGTATTTTGTGTCCTGATGTCAGCTCTTCTCAAACGGATCCTGAAGAGTCGGTTTTTCACCCTCAAAGTCAAGATGCATAGCCATGTACGTGTTCTGTTGCGCTTGGTGGCGGCGCGTTCACATCCCGTGTTTATCTGTGCTAAACGACGCGTCCAATAGAACAAAGAACACACAATCTGGTCACTTGGACTATCTATCCCATTGGTTGGCGTGCTCATCTGCACTAACTCCCAGGTTAAAGACCTCTTGAACAATGCAACTTAAACAGTGGCTGAAGAATACAGGCAGAAGTAAGCAAAAAGTGTACCTCAACTGAATGAGACTACTTTTTTACCGTTAATTTGAGCTCACCACGCGGCTGCCTATTCATCCTGCTGGTAAGATAACGAATCATTTGCTCTTTCACCACTCCTGGCAGACAGAATCTAGCGATCTACCTATTTGACAGTCATATGCACTGTGGGACGACCCACGCAAATGGTTATACATGGTACTTTAGATAGATAAACTGTCTTGTACATGCAGTGTGAGGATGAAGGTGAACCGGTCTAATTGAACACAGCACCATGGTGCAACAACTAGAACACCATGATCTGTGGAATAAACTGCTTCAGACCAGCCGGTCAGCACGCGTCAGCCGGTACCTATCGCGCACAAGTGGTATGCGGAAAGTAAAAGAATGGTGCTTGTAACCGAAGTGAAACTCTGATGATGCTAGATGTTACATCTGAGTAAAAATCAGACACCGGCTGCAGACGAAACGTTTGAATGCAACGTTGACTACGACCGCTGTTCAATAGGACTAGAAACTCCGGTGGTATATCAGTCTTTCTGCTTTGCTCCGGCTTCTCTGACAACTATACCATTGAAGGTGGCAGTGAGAGCTAATCATATTGCAGATCAGCTGACCAAGGCCGAGCGGTAAGGTGTCCAACCACTGACCGAAAGGTCTCATATTCGAGACACTGCTTTCTGAGATGCGCACCGCTAATAATTCCCCACAAAGATGAATAGTTGTACGGTTTCTCAGCTTTTCGGCATAGGCTGGTTTCACTGACAGGACGAAATCTCTATTGAACAATCGAACGACTTGACCAGATTTCTTCGCCGAATGGCGATGAAAAAGGTCTTCAATTAATCCGGTACGAGCAGACAGAGCAAAGGGTATTAATTTACTGGAAATAGAGTGCAAAATACGCTAAGACCTGAGACAGATAATCAGTGCTCACTAGCAATGGTAGATATGTATGTATTTTAGTGAATATCAAGGTGATGTAAAGTTTAATTAGGAACGAAAAAACACGAAACTCAAGGAGAATATGAAGAACTGTTCAGTTATATTCATAAGATTCAAATCGTCGTTCATAAATCTTACTATGATTTCACCCGGCCTGGACTCACCTAGCTGTACGTTTCTCTTCAGATAATGATATCGTATCCAATCGAAGTTGATTGAATTTTATTGCCACTTGACGACATATAGCAGCGACTTGCCGATTCCGCTCTGACACACCAACGATCTGATCAATTTTGGAGACGACCACGGCAACGGGCAAGCCTAGAGTAAAAGCCAGCTGGGCATGTTCGAGTCCGATAGCCGTGAGACCTGTGACGACAGAAACCACGAGAAGGACACCGACCGGCTGTGCACGAGCAAGGCCAGCCAAGGTGGTGCGTTGATATTTCGAGTGGCCAGCTGAGTCCAACAGCGTGACTAGTTGATAGGAATTGCGGACCAACTGTTGTTCAAATAGGGGAGGGGTTGCGTGGGACAAAATGATACATAGAGTCGTTCAGTTGAGTGGACGACGAGGCATCAAGTGAATAAGTAACGATTAGGTGGAACTGGGCCAACCTGATGAGCCCCAAGAAAGTCGAAACCGGTCTTGGGCTATCGAAAAGTTATCAGCAACCTTATGAGTAGTGCATTATGTCTACACATGCATCGCGATATCTCGAATATCGAACCAAGTGAAAAATGAGGCGGCCTGGTGCAGCACATTCAGTTGCTCAAAAACATCATAAACGAGAGATTTAGCTGGGTTCCAGATGAGTCCTTCGCAAAACTAAATTTGTTTACAAATGAGTGTACTTCGCTGATTTCGTGCAATTAGGTGCATAAGGTTGACGGAAACTCAGGGACTGTGCCGATCGACGAGCCCCAAGAAGGGTTAAATCGGTCGTGGGCTGTCGAAGAATTTCCAGCAACCTTATGAGTAGTGTCATAGTCTAACGATACTTATGTTCGCATAATTACGAGAACAACCGCCCTTGAAATACGTCAACCAAATCGCTTTGTTCTGGAATACTTTTCTTACCACAAAACTTCGCCGTGCATCGACCTCATCAACGGCTCTTAAATATTTATTAAAGGTTTTAACTTCGGGGAGATTATAGCAAAACGATAAAGGTGCTCGACTCTTGTTCACAGTGATTGAGAACCATTACAGATTGAAATAAAGGTTTGCCATCAGTGGTCACTTGGAGTGAACACGAACCATATCGACATCCGACATCTGCGACCGATCACAAGAGATTTGTGGGTAACTCACGATGAAAGTGAGATGACTGATTAGTGGACTGTTGCTCCCTATTGTTCTTATTCTATTCGGCAACTACCATAAACGGTTCCCGAAATGGTTCAGTAGTTAGAGAGCCAGCCCTCTAATTGGAGGGTCCGTAGTACGAATACAACCTTTGTGTCTCGACCGCTCCTGTCTAAACTTGTGCGATCTGGCGGCATCTCAGCCCTCATCGTTCCTTCGGGTGGCGTGGTGCCTAAGCTGAAAGCATATTAGTTACTTTTTCGCCCTTAGCAGCAAATCTCATCAGTGACAGCAGCACTGGTACTTCACTGACATTGCTTACGTCTCGTGTGTTCTGTCGGTGCGTCAGCCAGTGCTTCACTGACTAAAGCGTGATCCAGCTCTCCGTATAGTCTGGTTTTTGCCATTGGTAATCCTGTATGCGCAACTGTGCAACTAGTGTGGACTCAGGCGTGGTAATGCCCTGGCAGGATCGGCAGTCATTTTCCGGATGCTTTGATAAATCGGGTTTTTAAACATACGCCTCAGCATTTCTGGATACGTGAAAATGAGTCTCAGTTGCCAGTGGGTGAAGCCTTATTCCGTATAACACCTGTCACCTCAGCAAATAATCTTGCTTTTTCGATAGTGTACAAGTCAGTGTAATTAATACGAACGTCTGGTAAACATCAGGACAGTCATAAGGATTACCAGAGGGGAAGCAACCACAGAAAAGGATAAAACGGTGTGTGGTATTAAAACTATTAAAAGAATTATTGCAGTGGAAGCCTTGAATAAACACGCCGCTGAGAAGAGTTCTGGGTTATATCTTCCAGAGGCTTCAGTTGCCAGAACGATTCCCACCAGGTTCTAGAACAGTTTGCACTAAATTTATCCGGACTTCTGGACTAGGGAGATTAATATTGATGGCATTGTAGTGCAGATGTATCATACGAAGATAAGAACATCGTTAAATTAGTCGAGACCACTAAGCAAACTACGTGACAGGTACAGAGCGCAGTGTGAAGTTGTGTGTTTAACGTAGATGACTGAACAAAATCTACCGATAGCCCAAAACCGATAATGGAACTCCGACGCAATCATCGCGCTGCAAATTGGTTGATGTGCGTCACAAACGAGAGGTTAACTCGAGTCTTGTCTGAATTTCCAACTAGCACTCTAGAACGTAAATCGGTAGTTCATTCTTGTATCAATTGGAATCCTAATGATACTCTCCAATCCTCAGAGAAAATTCACAAACGACCATGGTGCTGAAAGCAACCGAAATGTTTGTTCCTACAATGAAGGAGCGTAGCGTCAAAATATATGAATGTCAGTCCATAAGGGACTGACGTATGGTCCATCAATCATAGTGTCAATGAACTTCCAGACGGTCTAAAAACCATTGAGAAGGGTGCGGAGAGCGACTGATATACTCAAGGTATACTAGCTTAATTACTGGTCCAAAAAATTAGGTATGAAAAACCAACGTCGGTGGATCGATAAGACAAAACGAAATGGTAAACAACGGTTTTAGAAGTAACAAAATCAGCATCAGGAAAGATTTTCAAGTCCCTGAGTCACAAGGAAACGCACCTCATCCACTGAGCAACGCGTCAATAGTCCATCTGTTCGGGTGTAGTTGGTTACATTTCCAGCGACATCAAAGCCTAGCAGTTCACTGCTCAGGCTGCTAGTTCTACCCGTTTGAACTTCATGCAAATGCCGAAATAAGTTCAAACGAGCACGTCCTCTCGCATTATCCAGTTCGCCGTCGGTCAAAACACCGATCAGGGTGGATTTGCCGGCGTCCATCCCACCCAGTACAGCAATGCACAGGCTAGGGTGCTACAAGAAGTGAAGAGACAGAAAGTAAAGGATTTGTAGAAAGGAAGAAAGCCCGAATATGTAAAGCAATACAGCAAGGTGATGCTAGCATCTCGTTGCCAATACTGAGGATGACAACTCAATGGATGTGGATTTCAGGCGAGATTGGTGAGAAGCCTGAACGAGATAACTAATTAACTATCAATCTAAATTAACTTCAAGTTAAGCGAAAATGGAATGGACATAACCCTTTATGCCTTCATAGGAACGTGAATTGTGAATGTACGAACAACATCGACAGCATAACATCAGTGTTGAAAACCGATGCTTTGCTGTCGCAAATGTAAAAATGTTCGTGAGGAAAAAATCAAACGGAGCAAGAAATCCCACGCCACCACAAAAAGTGCTGGGAAATGCCTCACGCTAACCTGATCTCGGCATCACTGATTGAACTTATCAGGTGGACATGTTGATGGGTCTTCCTCTCTACCTAAGACTCGACTTGGATGAGTCAAGTAGCTGGAGATACTGCTCGTGGAAGACTAACAAAGGTACCGGGACAAGTGAATAGGACACATTTACAACACAAACTGAAAGTAGCCTCCTTTATGCTGTATGAAGGAGACACACCGAGAGGCCCCAATGGTGTAACTATTCGATTTTGTCATAGTCTCACTGCGATCTTTAAAAAACAACGAGGGTTGCTTTTCTCAACAAAGTGAGGAGGAAAAGTAGAAAAAACAAAAGGCTAGAAGGAAACATGGAAATATTTCACAAAGTTGTCCACAATTACGTGCCCGCCAGGTTCTGTTTGTTGGGAATATCACTTCTTGGACAAGAGTATAGATGAACCTCTGACGGTGTCACGTCCAGTGCATTCCTAATTATGATATCAAAACCTTGGTTCTTGTCCTATACAAGGTTCTGTATCACAAGATTTTAAACTGGGATGGTTCGAGGCACTGGCCTCAACTTTATTCAACAGGCTTTGAACGTGAATCAGCGACCTCACCCTCACAAAAGGTTTTAAACACTGGCGTGTCGGGTGTACACGGATACCACGGTCAAGAACGGAGCTATTGATTATTCTCACCAGCAATGCAGTCACTTTCCAAAGTATATCTAGACATTTGGGACCATGGATGTTTTGGTCTTTGACACATCGGTTCATGGAATTTCTGTTGCTGAAACTCCTGACGCATACACAGAGGACCGGTGACATTCCGGGCCTAAACACACCAACTGCTTGCACACTGATAATATCGGGATAAGTGCTCAGCTGTAGCACCCTTTCGGTACCCAGATGCCATGCCATCCAAAAGAAGCACAAGAGCTGGGATACTGTCAGGTTGGCTAAGCATAGAGAGGGGAAATCAAGAGACAGAGATCGGATTCGAACCACGGACCTTCCGGTTAGTAAATTCGCGCTCTAACCACTGAGCCATCTCGTCCCATCTAATATCATGATAAACACTCCTTTATCACACACATCATAATAATGTTTTGAAATTTTAAGAAATAGATTCAAACAAAAAGACCAGGAGATCGGATAGGATACATCTGATGAGCAACAGGAAGGGAGAAACCACAAGTGGGCTATTCAGAGTTTTGACCGACCTTATGAGCAGTAATGAAACAAACCTCGGTGTCTTGAATATCTTACAAACTGAAATGTAAGGCGGCCTTTGTGAGAATCATCAACGAGAGATTCATGTGAATTTAGCTGAGTTTCCCGCCAACACTAACTTCCGTTGCAAAAGGGCACTTATCCCATCTTTGCTTCTTGTTTATCGCCCAGTTGCCATACAACATGTAAGCACTCGGTAGCCAATCAAGTGGACGAATGACGGCTTCCGCCTTTCAAAACCTGAAATTATTGACCTTTTCTGGGTAACGGTTGGTCGTTTAGAGGTGTCTCAAACGAAAAAAGGATTTATATATGGAGATAAACCAACCGCCTCCTGCATCCATTTATGTTTCTTTCTACAATTTCCCTTGCAGCAACCCACTGTTCTAACCTTGTGTTCATCCCTATTGGAAACGTCATTGCTAATGTATCCATATCAGGTTGACACACGGTTAAACTTTAGCTAAACGCATCACTCGAAAAGATTCCACATCATCATCCACAGATAATTATTACCATTTCCATAATAACACGGTACTTATTCGTAGAAAAATTGACCACCTCTGATCCCGTTGCAGCCAGGCCAACAAAGAATACACAGATGATCGCCCAGTGAAGTCTCATGAGTGAATCGAAGTCATACTCAACGGTGGGCTCAACACAGTTCAGTTTCAGTTGAGATTTCCTCTTGCAAGTGAGGTCAATCTATGCTGAAAAGTCGGGAAGCACAGTTGTTTCATCAGTCAAGATTTTGAACGCTTGCATTGAAATTACCAGCCAGGAGGTTGCGTGCTCGAAACTCTCAGGAATTCCGGGGGATGCAAACTGTTGACGATTCCCAAAAAGAATACAACAGCTGTACAGTGCTGATAGGCTTTTTAGCTTAGATTGGCTTCACTTGGAGGACGAAACCTCAATTGGAAATTTCCAAATCTCCTCATACTACCCACAGTTTAATTTCGTCAAACCACATCGAGGGCTGTTTGGCCAGATAAATAGTCATGTGATAGAAATCCACTGGATCAGCTGAGAAGCATGAGAAAATCACATGACCTAAACCTTCAGGCAAAAGTGCAAGCAATTTGGCTAACTCGTGAAGAAAGATCGATCCTGATTCAAAGAAAAATTGGGCGAATTAAATAAAATTTAAAAAACGATTGTTTCTAGGAAACATTTAGCGCTTGCTTCACAGAAATAGGGAGTAAGGCTGTGAACAATGCCGTCGTGTATTCGTCTATTGCACCAGTGCATCGCTTTTCGCCCAATGGGACCTTTGGACGAAACCGTGGTTGGGTTATACTCGAGCAACAAACAAATAGATAATTCTATCTGCAACTCCAAACTAGTAATACACAGTGAGACCGAACTTCGAAACTCCACACCACGAAACAAAAGCGCCTAAGTCGTGTAGCAAGGAAAACAGGGATATTCATATTGGTTCATGGGATGATCCTAGAGTGAGCGCAACATACCGCAGTCGTCCTTCTGTCTGGGTAGGATCCCTTTTATTCTCCTTAAAAAATATTGGTGGAAAAAGGAGACCAGATAGGCGAGACAAATCGTGGTCTACAAATAGGCAACGATACAATCGGGCTCGATCGGATGTGACCAGCCCACTAACCCGGGATCGACGAAAGGTAGACAAAATGCCCCGACTAGCTAGTAGCACAGGGTGGGGACTTGGGCCAAAAACAATCCCAAATACTCTTCTCTATGTCTATAAAACAGCAGCAGTAATTTGTAATTGCGCCTGTAATGTTGTACCATAGATTATCTCAACGGTATCGCTGTAAGTTGAGTAAGAAAACAGACCAGTATTAAGTGGCAGAACGTATAAGAAGCGCGAAAAATATATGAATGCGTATGGAGTATACAAGAGGACACATCGTACAGCCAAAACTACTGATCAAGAAAGATTTGGGATTCATGGACCAAGTGGTTAGAGAGCTAATTTACTGACCGAAAGGTTCGTGGTTCGAACCCGACCTCTGCCTTTCGACTTCCCCTGTCTAGACTTGGACAACTTGACAGTATCCCAGCCCTCGTGCCTCCTTCGTGTGGCATGGTAGATAGGCACCGAAAGGGTGCTACAGCTGAACGATTTTATTATTTCATGCAACATAGGTCGGCTGGTTAGCCGAGGAAGATCGAGAATTTTATCATTTAACCAAGGAGCCACAAGAGTTGACATATCTTACAACCACGATTAGGGAGCACGGTGTTTGAAAATACAACAGTAGTCACCGGATGACAGCTAGCATCGGAACGAGATCCAAAGTATGACTAGTATATAAGGGGAAGAATGAGCGATGAATCCAGTCAACAAAATGTAGACAGGTTTACGCAGATGTATCTACGTCATAGAGAGACCGAGGAGGAAAGAATTTCAATAGAATCTTTAGCAACTTGAATACACAGCCAAACGAATCACCTGCCAGCAGACTGGATAAATGGCCTCACACCAAGCGTACAGTAAAGGAAAATAGTTTCGTGTATGCAACTCATTTACGGCAGCGTATTGAGGAAATAGGTACTCTAAAAATGCGGTCTACATACACGGAATGCTAAGCTTAGGCGATCAGTCACCAGACAAAGAACGACAAATTGTGTCGATGCAAAAAAAACAATAGTGTTGGAATCTTCTGAACATAGTTACTCCGTGACAATCAAATCATAAAGAAATCGCGTGATCACTGAGTGTCGCAACATCTAAGAAGAGAATGAATCCAGTGGAACTCAGTACTACAGGTGTTGAGAGCCTAACCAAGGAAGAAAAACACTCTGAGGTACGGCGAAGGTAGCGATAAAAAACGAAGCGAGACGAGACACATGACACTAACACATGTAGAGCTGCAGAGCAATATTTCACACTTGCGCCGTGTCCGTGAGCACGGTGAGTCGCGTTGCCTTCGGGTTAGATAACCATGAAGGAAAAGAGGGTACGTAAGAAAAATGACAAAACGGGCGAACGAGAAGCGCTGAAATGGAGTATAAAGATGAAAGATTATAATCATAGCTTCGTACGGGCTCGCTAATATCCGCCCCCACCAACGTGGCATGACGGTGTTAACTCCCATAACAGGTGTTGTACACATGCTGATGAGGATATAACCACAATGATTTCAGGACGTGGTGACTTCACGGCTGGTCGCCGCTGAGTAAACCAATTGCATCGCTCAAGGTGGGGACACTTTCACCTGCACAGACGTAATAATTCAGATGCATCCAGCGCGCACTGGTTAAGTGATGGCAACTTGCTCACCCGGATGGTTGTAGATCTGGAGTAAATGCCGCATCATGACCAAGTTAATCCATTGCTGGGGGACACTCGCGAAGATACTTGAGATATGGGAGCCTCGTTCCTTGTAGCATAAATCCATTTTGACATCCACGTCAAGGATTATGTGACTCTATTGCACATCCTCAAACAACAGAAAAGTGGTTAATGCCACGACTGATTTGCTTCTCCTCTCCACAAATGGCCGGACTGGGATCATGACAGTCGGAAGTTGTATTATAGCTACCTCTACGGATGCGCGGCTAAAGACCGGCGTTATATCGTTGTACACGCTTGTGAAGCCGGCCAATTCTGCCTTAAGAACGGTGTCCACCATCTTCATCAATAAGTCCTTTCGCTTTTATGCCATAGTGGTGAAACCCAGGCGTAAGTGGCATGACTGACTGTGTTAAATGAACTAAAGTGGATCTCTAAAACTCTTGTGTTGCTGGCAGCTCTTCGGTTGCACATCCACTGAATCAAGGTTCTTTAGTTGATTAAGGTATGAATCAGTCTTCCCAAAACCGAGTTGGAATGGTAGGGCTATCAACAATTTCCCATTTCAGTTTACTTCGACCACTATCATTTTCTACTCAAGTGAAAAAAAAGCTGAGATGTATACTTTCAACCAAATGACACGTGAACCGCGTACATGGTTCCCTCTCGACAGCCCACAACCGGTTTCGCACTTCTTAAGGCCTATCAGGTGGCACAGTCTTCGAGTCAGTCAGTCTTATGTTCTACTTGAACCCAAATTGTACGAAATTTGACAAATACACTAATTTGCATACCAATTTGATCTTCACAGGAGGATCACCGGTTTGCCTATGGCCGGTGGACTGAATACGTCAGCCAATGGTCACCTTTTCGTTACCGTGATAACCAATGAAGTGGCACAATAGCTCTTCACTCTCGTATTAACAACCGACACGACAAGACGTCACAATGGGTCGTCCGAAATGTCCTAACCCCAATGAAGCGAATCAGTTTGCTGACACACAGGATGTGTTAATGATATCTGGAACAGCCATTTAACCTTTCTTGGGGGCCATGTCAATTAGTCCATCCGACCTCCACGTGCACCCTACCTGTTAGCGAAATCCAGACCAGTGACCCGAAATAACAACATGATCAGGCGTTGCTTCTGTGATTTTGACCACGCCACTGGATGTCTTAGTGAAACCCGGAAACCACATGACGGATAGCTAGTTGTTCCCCGATGGCACATCGCGCTCATCGGCGGTCATGCCAACGACAAGACAGGACAGGCATGCCACGAGCATTTCGTCCAACTTAGGCCCACAAGCTAATAACTTCTAACAAACGTCACCGCATAACGTCACAAAAAGTCATTTACTACGTTGGCAACTATGACATCCAGAATAAGCTTACTGGGTGCATTAGCAACAGAACAAGTGATGCACTGACTTCATGCTCAGTTGCTTATTCTATCTAAGCAGCCACGCTTAACTCGCTGACAAAGCCTAGATCATAAATTTACAGGGATTTAAAAACCGCTAGTTTGCAAGTGAGAGCCTGTTGAGGCTGGTAAATTGTCAAGATGTTGGCTTTGTGAGACACACCTGTAATTGCTGTCAGTTTACATTACTGTCAATGAAATCAGCATTCTTCAAGGGTAGTTGATAGTTGGCCGTTCCAAGTCGTTTACTCCTGAGGAACATCCACCAGATTGCTACAACAAGCAGTTTGAGGATTAGAGATTCGCAATTCTGATGATTCGTAACAAGGGTGGAACAACTGTAGTGGTTTCCGACGTACATTGACCACACTGCAGAAGTAAATCGCGATTGAAACTTCGAAATATTACCAACTATCAATATGTACAAGCACGCATTGTACCACTTTATGTTTTGATTGACCAATATTACATTTCGCTATCGAAGCTATGAAAATCGAATGGACCGTAGAAACAGAACCAAACAGAAATAAACAGCGAAAGAAATCGTTCAGCTGTGGCACCCTTTCGGTGCATAACTGCCATGTCATCCGAAGGTTGCACGAGGGCTGGGATACTGCCAGGTCGCCCAAGCCTAGACAGAGGAAGTCAAGTGGCGGTCGGGTTCGAACCACGAACCTTGCAGTCAGTAAATCCGCGCACTAACCACTTGGGCCATCTGGCCCCGAGGCGGATACGCCATGCCGTCGCTTCTTCCAAAGCAATAAATTTGGGAACTAGAGGTGCACTCCACTGGAGATCTCCAAGGATAAAACATTTGTTCAGTTTTTCCGGATTTTCCGCTATAGAACGACTTAATTTAAGCAGCAAAACATTGATCAAAAATGGGAAAATCCGTCAGCTTTGGGTGGGGATTCGCCCTAGTAGGAAATTACTGTATTTACAACGCTCCTGTAGTTCACTACTCAATTGCTTTGTAGTTCAAAAAGAGAGTTCAATAAAGAGAAATCGCTGTTGAAGTAGAACCTTATTCGAGAACGTTCCAACGATTCAGAGGTACCTGCTTCCCGACATGTGACTCAACAGAATCAAGTAACTGAAACACGCCGTGAAAATGGTTATGGGGGAAAAGGCTGCTAAAGCATAGCATTGCGAACTTTATTCAGAAATAGCAATAGACTTGCTTTCGACGCATTACAGATCTGGTGTCAATTGGTGCGGTAGTGTTGGGCAGTCTGACGACATCACGACGCACAAAATGAGAAAACGCATGAGATGGTGCACTGCATAAGTTTTCGCGGTCACTGATGTCAGTACGCCTTATGTGTGGTTCACGGTTGACGAAAGAGGAACGAATGAGCAGGTGTGTAGACAACCCGAAACAGTGCAGACTAGTGGTTCACCAGGCTCGTTGGAAGTGTCCCATCGCAGCGGCATTCGTGAGTGTATTATCAAGTCAGTCACCCAGGACTGTGTAGTGGCGTCCATTCCAACGATTCTGCGTTTTTTAGCTGCTTTGGAACGAGTGCCCTGTAGGGATTTGCTTAAATATCCTCATGGTTTGAAAAAGAACTCAGTGACGAACATTAATGCTTTCGGGATCTCGTCATCAGGTCAGTACAGATCTAATGGTTAAAATAGGAGCGAGAAATGAAATACACCGCGAAGATTGGCTAGTGAAATGCGTGCAGACACGAACAATTGGTTGTCTGCGCCCCCCCCCCCTATGTCGCATCTAGTTGGGTGCTGTGAGACAGTCAAGAGGACTGTTGAGTGACTTGGCCGATTGATTCGTGTCTTACGACCGAGGCAGACTCATAGTTCGTACGAAACGTTTTTGACAGCACATTACCGGGTTTCGCAGGCGTATGGCGACTGCCTCGGCTGTAGTCAAGCAACGCCGTTGAATAGATACTGGCAGTCCATTTGGCACACGGTAAATGACTTGAAATGACTCATTTTGCATGACTGTGCCCGGTGTTAATTGTGGGACGTACTTGAGCTTCTGGCTGAACTGTTGAGGTTAGTGGTATTCCGGTAGGAGGTGTCCGTGTATTCTCTTAGAAAGTTGCCGTTTTGTGCGCCCAACATACTCCGCTGAACAACAGCAGGAGAAAGAATACACAGCCATATTCTGGGTGAGGACTGGCATCTTGTCTTTGAGGTTTAAGTTGAGCAAAGGGTTTGTTGTGAACCAAGACTGTGTCCGCCGACAGATCACCTTTAAACGGTAAACTAGGTATACTGGCTTCTTTCCAACGGTTGTGACAGGCGTTTGGATGGGGCGGTTATAGATCTCTCTCTTCCTAATATTAGGATAGAAGGATGGACATCCCACAGTGAACCGTTTAAACCGACCTGGACTGTACGGTGAACAAATACAGCTTGTCCACACCTTAAGGACATTGCTTTTTGTTGAAAACTATCCATAACTGAGGCAGCCGGGATGAAGAATTCACAGTACTAACAAGCCACTTCCTCAACTCACTATTTGGTATCCGTTAGCAGAATGAGAATGGACTACAACGTATCAGATCGAATTTGTGACGCCCTTGAAGAGCTAATACAAGTTACTACTGCTCGTTAGCTAGAGGAGTTTATAGTTACTGAGTAAGGTTAGCAGTTGGGCTTCATGCATGTAATCAACTGCCGTTCATCTGAACTGGTGGCCACTGTACCATTTCGATTAGCCTGTATCTGACGGAACAGTAAACTTGCTACGTTTACCTTACAATACCTGAATATAGAAAGTTCCAAGGAAGAGTACCAGAAGTAATGCTATCTGCTCAACAAAGGTAAACAATGTTTTAGGACGAGACAACAGCGAGGATGACCGCCTGCGACTGACGGGATGACGTATGCCTCCGAGCTGAGGCAATAGTAACCACCTAGTCCACTACTGCTTGCACGGACAAAGGTCTGTCGTAGTTTCACTGTTCCGTTTCCTGATCAGTTCAAAGACCCGAAGGAGACGCTGTGTACACAACTAGACAAAATCGCTCCATGAGGTCTACATGGTAGCACAAAAGTTCACGACAAAAACATCCGCATGTCAATAATAATTGGCAGTTTCGCACAGAATTCGGATAATCTACGAAAACTGTTTTCAAAAACAGTCAGCCAGTGAGAACAGGCGAACGGTCAAACTCGAAAAGATTCAGGCATCTCGAATTTAAAAATCGGTAGAAATCCGATTTTTCCATCCATGTTAGACCGATTAATGGTTCCCACAGGTTCCAGCCCTAATGTGCGCACAGTTTTGTGCATATTTGGGCCTACAGCGTAGTCACTATCAGTTCACATGCCCATGAATTCGCTCGTAACGTATAAGGCAAAAACCATGGTGTTCCCGGACATATGACGTAATCGTCATCAACACCATTGTGTACTCAGCACCAGTTGTGTTTACCCGAGTAACCAAGAGTGTGTTTTTCGTGTACCTTCTCAGTTGGTATGAGTCTGGGTAATTACCACTGCGTTCGGCACAAATCAATCTTGTTCCAGCCTCACAAACCAGACCGGGTTCATTGTCAGATGTTATAATAACCCGGTGAATGGGCTTTTCGAACAGGGCGGTGGGTGTCACCGTACAGCGTGTGATCAGCCAGACAAATGAGTCTCCCAAAATCCGCCGCTATGATTAGCTGGACAGCACATTTGTCAGATAAACGGACCAGTGGACTTCAGTGTTAATTTGGTTTAGATTCAGTTGAGGTAACCAGGATTTTACCAGCGTGTGACCAGACAAATGAGTCTCCCAAAATCCGCCGCTATGATTAGCTGGACAGCACATTTGTCAGATAAACGGACCAGTGGACTTACTTCTTAATTTGGTTTAGATTCAGTTGAGGTAACCAGGATTTTATTTATTTATTTATTTATTTAATTTATTTATTTATATTTTATCAATTAATCAGATGCGGTCAAGTCAAGTTAAAGATCTTAAGCCCGAACTTCTCAACACAACATGTAATGGATTACATGACGAACCTCCTTTGTTTTTATGCTTAGTTCGTGCGTCGCTCGTGGCATTGAGTGCCACTAAGATTTCGGTCAGTTGTCTTGGGACAGCATGTTTTTCCTTTAACTGCTCGCATAGAATTAATGGAAAAGTACCAGTCCGTTTTGTTATGCAGCCTCGTTTAGCTACAGCTAAAGATGCGAGACAGGCTTTTAGATTTGGTTCGTTATTAACCAACCCACCTCACATATTTCTTTAAAATATCGGAACAATGTTAAGTTACGTCTCTTTTGCATTTTTATATTTTCCGTTTTGGTTGTGTTTGCATTGTTTGTTATTTATTTGGTTTTGGGGCAAACGTTCCACCTTAGGCGCAGTAGGCCACCCAATGGGTATTTTTATCAAGCTGGAAGATGCAGTAGAGTTCACATTGCCGTAGTTTGCATTGGAAATTGACAGGTTCGGTATTAAGAGCAGAAGCCTTCTGACGTTCAACATCCAGTGGAAATTGCGCTTTGGTTTTCTGAGTACGGTGTAAGCTTTTGACAAATGGGACACCTGCTCGCTGTTGCAAAGCTAAAACAATTACCCCTGCATCGCGTGTTTAGCTGGTCACCAGCTTGTACATCAGCCATTTAGCTTTGTCATCTTTGACATGATGAATAAATCAAGTCAAGTATCCCAAATGGTACAATCCGAAGTTGTCAGTGAACCCAACGTAATATAAACGAATACAAAAACCATTCGCATCTGCTGTCGCACCTGGTATCTTTAGTTCCCGAGTAACTCAAGCTGCATGCATAGGGCAACTTGCGGCCGCGGAGCAGCTGGAGAGCTAATAGTTTATCGTAGTTCTATCACTATATCCGAAATTCTAATCTAGGAAAGCCAAAAAACTGCGTTTTTCAGTGCACACAAACAGAGTAACGCAACATGTGAGTATTTTTGCTCACGTTATATGAGACTTGCGGTTATAGGCGGAATCAAAATAGCAAACGATTGACGATACAACGCGCCTGTGACTCATCCGTTAGCGCGTTTGTTTTATTTTCGGAATATCGGAGTCTAATATATCTTCAGTAAAAGTAAAGCATCTGAAAAGCCAAAGTTACAAACATTTCGTGTGGCTTTACCTCAACACATTAAAACAGCCTTAGTTATAGGATATCCCAATCTGTGTATATATAAAACCGCAGTTCACTTTCACATCGCTTTGCTTCTTTTAGACAACATATGTGCAAAGCGAATTATACCTCCCCAATTCGTATAACAAATCCTCTGGTTATCCAGAAATGTTGAACACGACATGGCATATTTCGCAACCAAAATGAGGTACAATTTACATAGGGGTCCTCACTTTTAAGATATGCACAATATAAACATTGATTTATCGGGTTAAACTAAATCGATTTTGAAGGCCATGTTGATACCCGAACACTGCTATTTATAGTAAGCTAGAAGAAGAAAAACTGAGTTATTTCGTAACCAGCCGGTTGATGATTTGTCCAAATTTTTCTCTCAACTAACAATGTGAGCAAATGAGCAGCCATTCGGCTGGCGTAAAAATTCTGTCGGAATATTGGCAGTTTAAAGTTTTTCATTCATCAGCAGGATAGTGGTCAATCATTGTCCAATATAGCTTGGGAAAGCACATTGGCGCGCACTGCGAATTTATCATTTAAATTTCCGCCTTGAAAGCTGTTGTCAACTGATTATTAGAAATGTTTCCTCATTGTCGAAACTGCTGTGTTCTTCATTATATTCAGCTGCAAGTTCTCATTGCATAAACGCTTTTTAGCCTGGGAACCAGTAGACATTGGCAAACTGCAGGCCAAAATGAGGCCAGTACCTGGACGATTGGGGCAATTTTTCCGTCAGTAAATAGATCAACTATCTACGCACTGTCTACTTGTTTGTGTGGAACACCGCACCATATTGATTTCTGGAATTAAAGCACCCTGTTCCGGATTCGTTTGAGACCTATGGTCGATCTGTACTAAGGTCTATGGTGAGTACTTAGCCTACTAAGACATGAATGGGTCTCATGCACGCTCTTGCTGACTGATGACTATTCCGGAGGTTTGTTCTTCGGCTCGTAACCAGCCTAATCTGCATTGGCTGATCATCTGTTTCACTCGGATTAATTTAAACTTATCCCGTTAAATTTGTGGAAGAACGCAGTATTCACAGTATAAATGTATTCACCCTGAATCACATGTGGTAAACCGAGCGCGCAAGCCTAAATAGCTGTTGAAAACAACACAAATGTTTATTGATTCAGAGAGAAACTTTATTTCACTTATTTCGTTTGGTTAATTATATCACGAAGTAACCGGGTTGCTGCAAGAAAGCTAGCTGGTTTTGACTGTTTCGCGTTTAGCGGCTGCAAACCCAAACCTAGTGACTGACGAAATCGGTCATCATGTTGCCAAGGCACAGACACACGCGAATAGAGCCACGCGGAATTTGTGTGTGGAGTGAAGTATCATGTGAAGAGTATCAAAAAGCGTGCAGCGAATGAAATAGTTTATTCACATTCGGTGGGTTGGAATCAGGAAGATGATAATATTTAGGTGAAAAATACCAGCTGGAAAGACAACTCCTGAAAGCAAACAATTGCTCCCTATTGATGACTTGATACATCGAGACGATTATTTCCTGACCTAATCCGCTTACTCAAGAGTGACCACGCTAGCGATGGACAAAGCAAGATAAATTCCGCAGTCACAGGATAGGCATAATTTCAGCAAGATTTGTTGTGGAAACTGGCGACTGGAATCAAACAGAATAGAAAGCTAGGGGTCCCCTAAGTGAGTTGCTTATGTTACAGTTTCAGCTTGCAGATAAAATGTCGAGTATTTCGATCAAGAATGACAGTTCCTACTGAAACGCTAAATTTCCGCCTCATCTTCATCTCAATCGGCCGGTGATATGGTTGTCAAAACGCTATCAAGCCTATCTATCCTATACAACAACTGAATGCACGGTGAACGCGTTCGCTCGTTCTCATTGTCGTTGATCTTAACCGCAAAAATGTAGTCAAGCGGAACAGGCAGAAAGTATGGAGATATCTACTCCGTTTGACTGCACAAAACAATGAATGGTGTTCTATGTGCTGTTTCACGCATGCAAGTGATTCAATTATCACGCATCATTATCATCATCATCGACAGCATGACATCAGTGTTCAACACCGATGATTCACTGCCGTACAACCATGACTTATTTGAAAGCCTTATTTTAAAGAAAAGAATAAAGGTGGACGGGGGAGGGACTTAGTGCTAACTTAGCACAATCAGTCCGAGGTGCCTATATCTCCAGACATTCACTCAGGCAATCTGGATAGAAACTGACAACAAGAACGCCACTGACATCGGTTGGTAGCCATATCTTGTAGTTTCTCCAACCAGGCACAGTGAGGATCACGCGGTCCCCATCCTGGATATTATCACGCCAAAAGCTGCTGAAAGATTCATAGGTCCTGGTTAAGGCTAGGCGATTTTCGAACACATCCACCTCGTACCCTGAGATTTTGTGCTGTGCATTGCCATAAGAGCATAGATTGGAGTGAAAAAAACTATACCAAATTGAGAGTTATGTTCTATATGGATTCAAATCGGGCGCCATTTCACAATTGCACTCAGTTGCACACTAAGTTGGTCACAACGGGAAAATCAACTGAATTCAACTGAAAATTCGTTTATGCTGTTCAGCTGTAACTGAACATGCTGCACCAAAACCAACTCATGTTTCAGTTGGTATGATATTCGAGATATTGCAATACATTGTTTGGACGGGACATACTACTCAAATAGAATGTAAGACCGATGGAAACTTGGGCACTACGCCTAACGGGTGAGCACCATTAGCGGAATCAACCCAGTGTCCTTTGCGGACGCCAGCCAACATAAGTCGGGCCCACAACGAAAAGCGAACATGCGCGCCACTGGGATCTGTTGCATGCCACGTCCTGTAAGATTTCCAACCAGCTGAAAGTAGGATCACGTTCCAGCCAGGAAAGGGAGAAAGCCCGACAATGACCGCTTTTACCGTTGCCATGTGATGGCCTGTCTTCCAATTTCGTTTCAGAAAAGCTTGATAAACAATCGGTAATAGTCTTCCACTTTGTTTCCATATAAATTGTTAGCACCGGATGAACTCCTAAAAAGCTATGACTGTCGATTTCCATCAGTTATGTGCTCCTGACTGATGAACTCTGAATTCATATTTCGCTTTCAAATAGGTATATTTTTGGATAATCCAAAACTGCATACGAAAACTGACCGTTTAAGCCATGACATGCTAACTCAAACTCAGCTATTGTGAAAATGATCGTACTTAAAAAGAAGCTACTTACAACTAGCAGACTGAAGAGTGTGTTCTTTCGGATGCAGTTTATCCCATTACTGTCTTTGGTTCCGGAGGTATTTAGGCCGTGATTACAAAACAACTAGTCTGTCTGCCGCATTCCTAAAAAATAAAAAATAATCGTTCAGCTGTAGCACCCTTTCGGTGCCCGCTGGCATGCCATCCGAAGGAAGCACGAGGGCTGGGATACTGCCAGCTTGCTCGAGTCTAGATAGTAGTCGAGATGCAGAGGTCGGGTTCCAACCAGGAGCGTTTCGGTCAGCAAATTCGTGCTCTAACCACTGAGCTGTCTCACGGTATTCCCAGTTCTACCACCGCCGACGATCCACTGAAGGTAAGGACATTTGGTACGCACATAGGCGAGATAGGGCTCTGCTGGGACACCTGCTCAAAACAAATACCGCTAAATCCCCTTACACGATGATACTATGACTCCACTCAGTCGGTTTCACAAATATTTTCGAACTTAAGTTATGACACCTTAGACGTCCTTATAACAGTCGTTCCAGCTAAGAAAATCTGTACATTCACCAAAAGCAAGAGCCTGGCATACACACCTCTTGAGATCCTAAGTTGTGCTGTTTTGCCTTTAAAAGTTTCGAATTAGCAAACACGATCCAAATAACTTCCATAGTTGGAGTGTACCTCATTTCTCCCTGTCAAACCCTTCTTTTTCTTGAGCCTACTGTTTTCTGAGTCTACCGCGTGTATTCCATATTCGCCAACAACCCATCATAAACTTTTTGACCCATAAGACGTCGAACCCATTCTGATGAACTTTCCACTTTTTACCACTTGCGTTACCACAAGCTGTGCGGGCACAGCAAGTTGCCGTTCTTATCGGGCTTTCTATGGACTTGCACCAGTTCGTGCAACGATTAGACGGAACTCCCCGTAATCTGAGGTTTGTGTTCCTTTCATGTACCCATTTTGTATGTGTAGTACCGCATTCTGTTGATAAATATCAAGACTTCGTAATTCTTGGTTTGTGATTTCGCGCGCCACTCAGTTGGGCTTCCCAGAATACGTCACGTACTCTATACGGAACTTATAACTTCCAGGACACATAAAACGAATTTGAGAATACAAAGAATGCACAGAAGTTGATCGGACAGCTGCCCAAATTGAAGTGATGAATAAACTTCGGGGGTAGCGAAAATTCAGCTAGTTTGAGTTGGCGTCAATTAAGCAAGTTCTTGGTACCTGTGGCGAAACCAAACAGGAAATGAATTGGGACTGCTGTTATTCCATATAAACCATGGACATCCAAAGTCACTCGAAGGATTCTAAACACGAGTAACATAAGAGTAGTATTCCAGAAGGGAGACACTGCACCCTGCATTGGTGCAATTAAGGGATCGCCTCCCGGCGAGAAGAACTAGGGACTGCGTCCACAACATTAAATGCAACGACTGCACAAAGGTCAATATGGGGCAGACAGTCAGATAACTTCACAGTAGAATCGGCTGGCACAAGAAAATAGAAAGGCCACGGAGAAACGCAGATGAATATCGAGCGTTACTGAAAGGCTGAGTAAGAGCGGAACATGCACTGAACACGGGACACCAAACAGATTTAAAAAATCCTGAACTTCTGAGGCGGAGACTACGGTTCACGTCGCAAAGACTGATGGCCGAGGCGGTGGAAATCGCCAAGCATCCCTGTGTAAACAGAAGGTGTAGAACTGACAAGCGTGTGAAAAACGGTTTTAGATCAGTCGAGCTGATATGCGGTGTGTGGTCCTCGAAAAGTGGAGTCATCAACGGAAATAGCTTAGATCTGAAGTAAAAGAGTCAAACGATCGAAAAATCCCACCTGATCTCATCTGCCCAAAATAAATTGTCGCAGCACTTGCAAAGCCACACAGACTAGGAAAATTTACCAGTGGCACCCAACTGAAGTGCTTTGAGCAGGAGGATGGACGACCAACACCCGATCAAAAATGGTTTAACATTCCACCAACCCATCAACCTAGACAAACACACTTACCGACAAGGCTTTATAACTTATATTCAGCACTGATCTAGTGTGATAATTGGAAGAGATCTTTGATTGTTCCCCCATCTGCCTTAAAACGTGGCCAAATTAGTAACCTATTCATTTGACCTGACAAAACTTTTCCCAAAATCGTAACGTTACGCAGTTACAAAACTACCGTTTGTTTACCGAGATCTTCTGAAAAGAGCTCACTTTATTCACCCCCAGAGTATTTCTTGCTGAGCAAATGGGGTAAGCGTCCTGGAAATCCAGGAATACCAAAACACAAACAGTACTACGACAGAGCAAACCAACAGTCGACTTTTTTGTGCCAGTGTAAGGCTAGCGCAGACGGGTGTGTGCATATTACTGCATTTATCATTATACTACTGAAATTACTTGTCTACTCACTTACACTTTCTTTAGCTCAAATTGGGTGGAAAGAGGAATTTCTAGTGTTATAGGCAAAATTCGAAGAGCAACATACAAACCAGACTGCAGGATGTCCCTCAAAGCACCGCTGCGGTATTGTGGATAATAAACAATTGTAAAGATGTCCCTAAATTAGTGCTCAAATCGTTTATAAAACAGCATTTGAATGACTTCACAAGCATGCGAAGTGCAAGTCGAAAAAAACTATCACATGAAGTCTGAGAGGGACGAAATAAATAAATTATGTAACCGGGAAGGATGGTGCATTGGCAATTTTTTCATCACAGTGTTTGGGGGTGTGAAGGCTTCTGAGTTCATGGCAGGGGGTGTGAGAAGAGTAATTAAAAATAACTAACTTCGACAATCGTACTTAGTTCAGTTCCTCACATGCCCTATGAGCTCAAGTGGTGCATATTACTCAGTGACGTTTGCAACAAACAGGCTATCGATAACTTGCTGGAGTTAAAGCAGATCCGACCAGATAGACACCAGCGAGGGATATACTTACCCCACTATTGGCTAAGGGTGATTGTCGGACGAGCAGTTCGACGGCCTTCCTTGTCTCAGATCCGTAAGATGCCGGCAGACTGGTTTGACAGGAATTCGGCGGGGACGACACACTGACAGTACGCTCACGTAACGGCTGCACGACCGCATTTAATCGCTGGGCCATACGCCTAAGAGTAGCCAATGAGCTTTCAAGTTCTTTCGGGGACAATCCACTGACGTGTCCATCATCATCGACGCCCAAACGATAAATCGCCTCACCACCCCCTTCATTGAGACGCCATTTCATTTGTGTGACAAGTTGTTCAAAACGGTTCGGTGTTGGATTGACCAGTTTTCGCTGCCAAATGAGAGACAAAAGCAAGTGGGTGAAGTAGTAAGCTTGGCTTAGTAATATCAGTGGGTTTGTAGCTGAACTGAATAATTGGTAGATAAGGCCATACTGATGACTGGTAGCTGAGCCGGCTAATTTGGTAGCATACAACCAACCCAGCAAACAGATTAACGGCTAATATCTGTGAGGCTGGCGTCGTATATACAATACCCGGATAACATCTTATGATGTGCTTTGTGGGTGTGTAGGTTGAGGCTAAGCGTATGAGCAAAGTAAGAAAGCTTGCGTAGAACAAACGTAACAACAACTGCGCGAGGCGTTGCCCTGGGAAAACCTCACAGCGGAAAGTTTATTGATCAAGCTGAGTGGGATGACAACAAAACCAGATAATGAACCAGTGCTAATAGAAAGTACTCTTTTCCTCGAGGTGTGAAGGTTTCGGAGATCGTGGGGTATTCAGGCCTAACAAACTGTGGATGAGTTCATACAAAACAATGAAGTTGTGCAGTTGTTACCAAACACGTTCATAAAAGGCAGCACTAAGCAGGAGAATGAAACAACCGAAGGAAATTGGTGTGCAGAGTACCGCAATGTACACGGTAGCCAGGTATCGGTGTTGAGCTCTGAAGCTGTGCTGTCGATGATGATGAACGTGTAGTGTCTCTGGTCGCCACTACAACACAAATAAAATCCTGAAGAGATTACAGTCAGTTAGTATTATGTTTTCGTTCCAAATCTTCTGCAGTATGGTTGTCAGACTGCTCACCAGGACCTCCCCATCTTCTCTGAAGAGAGCGAAGTGTAGACTATCCGGACCAGGTGCCTTGTCGCGCTTCAGGATTGAAATCTAACACTGGATTTCGGTTGCTGATAGTGGGTTGGTGTCAATGTTCCATTCCGGTCCACTTGCTTCTTCCAGCGGCGGTGTTAAAGGAGTCCAGGTGAACTGTTCTTTGAAGTGCTCATCCCACCCTCATGACGACGATTGAGGGAGTGAATAGCTGTTCCGTCCTTTTTGCACATTGTTTCGCTGACACCTGCTTCTTTTGACCGTTTGATCGAATTACTTGAAACAGGGCGCAGCTGTTGTCTGCACCGAAAGCCTTCACCATCTCCCGGGCCTTCGAAATCCACCAGCGTTCTGTCATTCTTCAAGCTTCTGATTATCCCGTGTTTGATTGACCTGCATCCGCCACCATAGTCGCTAGTTGTTGGCATGGCCTTTCTGGCAGCAATAAGATCGGCTGAGCCCGAAGATATCCAGTGTTCATTGGATCGAGTCAGATGGAATGGACAAACAGTTCTGAAAGCTAACAGCATTGCTTCTTTAACTTACCATCACTTAACCCCCAAGCAATCTTCGCCATCCGAATGACTGTGCGTTTCTAGTAGCCTTCTAGCCAGATCAGTTCGATAATTTTCAGCTACTGAAACGTGTCAAAGTTGATGAACGGAGCTGCTCTCCTTTGGCACGCGTAATGCTGGCGGAAAGCGAAGTGCTAAGTGGGCCGCACGACGGCGTAATCAGAGTCAAGTTGCGTATCCCAGAAAAAGCGACAATCCTTAACTGAGGATCTCCATCGGTGACTGATAGCCATATAGTCCAGTTGAGTCCAAAAGTGTCTTTTGGTAGGTTGTTTCCAAGTAACTCGGTGTGTGCGTGTGTTGGAAGTTCGTACTGGTCAGGAACAGAGAATGATCTGCATACAACTGAAGAAGCCGCTCTCTATTATCCGTACGTTCAGCATCGACTCCAAATCGACCACCTAACTGTGCTTCTTCAGAACTTAATCGTTCAACTTGGGTATTCATATCACCTGACAGGATTAGTATATCCGTCCTTCTTGCTGACCGTAGCAGTCGTGATAAATCTTGATAGAACTCGTTCTTGTGTCTCAGAAATGCCATCTGTTGGGGAGTATGCTGATACAACAAACGAACACCGTTTACCGCATCGACTTGCGTTGACCTTAATTGAGCCAGACAACCGCACAGTGGAAGGCGACTGTTTACTGAGATGGAGTCCATTAGGGCGCTTTCAACCTTGGGGCTGAGTGCACCTCCCACACCGTAGATACCACGAGCCATTGCGTCAGGATCACCAGATAACCGTAGAGTGAAATGTGGGACATCTGGGTTCGTCCTAAGCGGCTTGAGGAACACGACCGAAGTGGGTTCATGTATGTGTGTCTCAGAGACACAACGTACATCAATGGAGGGGGAGTAAGGTTTCAGCAAGGGATGCCTGTTGCTCGATTTGACATAGAGAACGGACAGTAAAGGCTGCAAAGTAGATCAGATCTTCGGAAGTTAGTAAGTGATTATTTTGGTTTATTTTTCTGGACGATGGTTGAGGCACGGAGAAGTGGTTAGGAGATTGACAGATGGGTTGATTGCACTGCATTGTACGATGTGTTGCGAGGGAGTGAGGGGAAAGGCCTGTGAGCCAGGAGCTGCAGGGGCGAAAGATACTTCCCGGTTGCCCAGGCCGAAGAAGGGGGTTTAGTTAAGGTACCCCACCTCGAGCCTTTAACTCAAAAGTCTGACCCACAAGGTGGGAGATATAGGGCTTTGTTCGGGGACTCTGCCCCTAGCCTATGACTCAACAACTCTGGACCGCGAGACAGCTGTTGTTAGGGTTTTCCTGGGGGACCATTCCCGGAGCCAATGACTCAATAATCTGACCTACTTGGCTGTAGGGGGCCAGTCTGGCCTGAGGGCGCAGGGAGTAGGGCAGTGCTTTCTCACTCCTGATGCGGCTGCGCACAGCAGGTACCTTTTGAGCAGCACAGGGCTCCTTGGTTTTGAAAGTATTTCGCCCGTATTGAATAATGCACCGGCGGCCACGGTCAACCGTTGGGAGATCAGTGTGTGGTGTTTGAGGCCGACCTTTTCTAACCCATTCTTCATCGGGGGGGGGGAGGCAGCATCTTTGCTTCCATATGGATATGCTGGTCACCTGGAGGAAACGCCCCACTGCCTTCACACTCCTATCGCAGAGGACAGTAGGACTTTACCTCCAGACCGCCTCGTAATGCGATTACTCGCAGTGAGGGGGTTCTTCGTCGGGCTGCTCCCAGTTGGCCTTCCTGGCATGGTTAAACCTTTAGGAACTGAGTTCCATCCAGTATAGCCCACAGGATCATTGCAGCACAGAAGCCCGACCACCACAGGGTGACAGCTTTGGGTCGGGATGTGGCATGAGAATATGGTTATCTGTAAATATCGCGATTTTATGAGGACTGGGATACTGCCAGGGCACCCACACCAAGAGAGGAGGACAATTAGGGTCCTCGATCAAAGCCTTTGGCTCAAAAACGTAACCGCAAGGCAGTGGTGTTTGGCTGGAAATGCAAGTAAATTACTATTTTTACGGAACATGTCGCCACATGTTCCAACCACCAACCTGGATGGCCAGGAGACTGTGTTCGTCAGACCTCTACACATGGACCAAACCTGGCATGAGGGACTCTGTGAGTGTCACGCGGATACCCCCCAATACAGTTCATTGGGCCGCCGAGGTACACAAACCGCCACACCACGGTAAGGTTCAGTTTCTTCGTGACAAACGCTTTTTCCGTCCAACCATGTAAAAGGTGGAAACGAGTCAGGGAGGTCAAACAATGACTTGGCAGCGAAATATGAAAATCACTACCAGCAAACTCAGTTGCACTGGTCCCTGGATGGGGACCACAAGACAGGACACATCAATGGTTAGACACGTCCAAGCCGCGCCTTCGATGGCGCTCGTGCATCCAAGCTATTGCCTTCAATGCGTAGCTTCCATCCGAATCTCCCCACTTAAGAGTCCGCTCACAACCCCGTATTTGCGCATCAATTGTATCAGCTACCATCTCCAATGCCCAGCTATCTGCCCATCTAACCAAACCATCGGTGAATGAAACTGTGGCAGATAGAACCACTGTATGACAAGTACACGATTCTTACAGATAATATTGACGATGAAGATGGTGATACAGCAACGCCACGTGTACAGACGACCCACTATTATAGTGTTCCTCGACATAAAGCATGCGTTTGATTCTGTCGATCGGTCAGTGTTGTTAACTACACTTGCTCACCAGTGCATGCCCCAGAAGTTTGTGAACAAAATCCGATACTTATATTCACATACCTCTGGGGATCTGAGTGTATGATGAGCTCTCCAAAAGTTTACGTACAAAAATTGGTGCCGCTATTTTTCGACTTCGATATTGATGAAACAATGACGCAAACGATGGAAGGTCTTCAAAACCCATGTATTCATTCAGTCGTAGCACCATTTCGGTGCCTAACTGTCATGTCACCATGAGGAAGCACGAGAGCTGGGGTACTGCCAGGTTGCCAAAGCCTAGACAGGCAGCCTAGACTCCTACCTCAAGAGGCGCAGGTCGGATTCGAACCATGGACCAAGTATATAGTTTCACGACGTTGGAACTAATGAAACTACACGAAATTCCAGACCACGGAGAGCTATGCACTGGTTTAGACAACTGTGATGGCACGTGCCAGACGGGTAGGTGCTACTGCGACGAATAACGACGATTGGACAATTTGTATGGAGCCCGGTGGTATTGTTTGAAAGACACTCGCGGTTGATGTGACCGCCTTTACCGCGAAGATTACAAATGGCTTCTCGAGTAGGGCACTTTGAACACAGGAATGACATGTTTGGACGGATTTTACGGAAGCAGAGGTCGGATCGACACGTAGTTCGGGTTTCTGTAAGATGGGAATAATCGTAGAGCAGGATAAAGGTTCGTTACGACTGTTTGTGAGCTAACTTGAGAGATATGCTCGGTCCAGAGTGCGTTCGCTCTGTGCTAGAAGTTTTTCTCGGATGGGGACACCAGGCCGTTAAGTATAGCATCACGCACACATTCATCTTGATGTTCAATTGCATCTACTGATTTAAACTCGCAGTCTTTGGCGAATGATTTCAGCTTCCTTATGAACTAATTAATATCCTGTCCGTCCTTTTGCTTGCAGGTCTGCAGGAGGTATCG